CTGCTTCGCTGGATGATGACCGAGATGCTCAATATCTGGTATAGTGGAGCCCCAGATTTTTTCGTATGTTCTTGGGTTCTCGCTCTAGCACAGAGTCCCTCAACACTTTGTTTCTGTCACTTGTCTGTCCTCCCTTAGCCTGATGGGGCCCTACACTGATAGAGAAGGATCAGGCTGCTGCCAGTTTCTAGCAGGCAACAAAAAAATAAATTACTACTGCTTATTTACTGGGTCAGCAGTTTTCTGTGAAAAAAATTACTTTCTTCAGCAGCAAGAAATGACCACTGGTCAAGAACTTCTGCACTGAGAAACCGATCCTGCAGGTTTTTTTTAGGCAAGCTGAGCCCTAAGATATTATCTGATTATATTCTGGTCTGGTTTTCACATGTCTAAGTTTAAACTGCTGTGCCCTGAAAGTTGTGCCATAACACCCGTCTCCTACCATGTCTCCATCCTGTGAGTTTTCATTAAAATTATGGCAGACTGTATGGGATTAGGCCCTAGTTTTTCCCAAGTTTATTCCCATATTCTTTTTCCTAACATATGGGCTCTATTCTTACAAGTTCTGAGAGCCTTCCAATAGAAGGAAATGCACATTATTATTCTTTATTATCCATTATTTGAAACTTCAGATGTACCGCAAAATATTTAATCTTACGGGTGTTCAGGGTTCACAAACCAGGTCTCTCCAAAGCCCTAAACTCCGGAACAGCTGGGCGGATGTTTATGCAAAACAGAACTGCTGTTTTATGCATTAGCTTTTTGATGTCCATAGATTTCTAAGCCAGCATTTAAGTCACTAGAACACAAGGTAGGTAAATAAATAAATACTAGCAAAACTTTGTAGTTGTAGCCTGGACATCAGTTTGGAGCTGGAATTGTCATTTCTGAAGAATCAGTATAAAATAAAAGAAAATGTAACATATAAAATATCAGATGTGACATGGAATTAATTGATGTAATCCACAAAAAAAAATATTTCCCATGCGTTCACTTGGGGCTTCAAGCAATGGCATTTTTAGTATCTCACAGGAAACAAACCATGAATGACTCAAGTTTACTAAGACCAATGTCTTAAGTGTTATCTGAAAACGGAGATTTTATAATTTTTTTCTTCTCTCTTATCATGATTCCAAACAAGCATAACTGCAGTTATTAGCATGAGCAGGGCTGAAATGACGCTGTTTTTATGATGGGTTACCATGCCTCTCGCCCGCGGGATGCCTGCACGGATGGCTGCAGAGCAGAGCCTGAAAGCCTGGATCAGGACACAAGAGTTGGGAAACCCAGGGAGGGAAATTCTCCTCTTCTACATCCCATCAATCAAGCCCGTCTCTGTGCCCTTTGCAGAACACCCTGCCCCCACCAAAGCAGTTTTATACAAGCTCTTGAAAGTTGCATTATGAAAATGTGGAAGTTGGGCACCCACAGATAACAGCTCTGACCTTTCGCTATAATATCGGCTACAGCGAGTTGGACTGATCAAAGATGGGGCAGAGAAGGTCCCTCCAAATTAAAACCACCTTCAGATTTGGCAAGCGTGATGCTGTCCTTCTCCCTCAGCCGTTCCCTGGATCGGATGAACGGGTGGAAAAATGCCTTGCCCGGGGGGTGGTTGCCACCTCTCTGCCCCCGGAGCCTGCTCCTGGCTGCCGTTTCCCACAACTTAAGGAGCTCTCATCAACCCGCACC